CATTTGGAAATTTGGGAGTCGTTTCTCCAAATGGTTTCCTGCACCAGGATTTTTCTTTTACCCACCCTTGGACTTACCACGTTGTGTAGTAAGCTTTGAATCCTTTGAATTCAGGTGCTGAGCACAAATTAGAAAGTTGTATTTTTCATTCTCTTATAGAATACAGGATGTATTCCATGTAAGTAAGTGTATGGTTGACCAGATTCTGGTATGCTGGATTTGTGGCATTTACTAAGATAAAAGCATACTTTAAGTCACACATGGAAGAAATATTTAGCAATCAGTTGGGTTTATTAAGCAAACACATATGTTATTTTAGCTCATAATGTAACACATGGTATACAGCTGACATATCAGTCATTTCATTATAAATATTCATGACTGAGCAACTTTCAGACAGTTTCTAAGTAATGTAATTTATATAATTAAGTTGTATTATTTTTTAGCTAGCTCCAAAAATTTATAACCAATTCTCTAGTAGTTGTACTTATGTAGTTAAGTTTTTAAATACAAGTTGAGTAAGTGGATCCACTTGGCTTTTTAAAGATGTGCATATATTCTGTTATTTAAATGTGTGCCTTTAAATAAACAGCTAATTATTTTGAAAGTTAGGCTACAAACTTTGACACTTAATATTTATATGATAATATTAGTACAAATATTTCTTATTTCACTATTGCCAATGGCGATTGGCAAGTTATGTTTTTAAATATGAGAGGAAATATAAATTTCAAAGAGTAAAACACTTTTGTAAAATTTCTATAGATAGAACTAAAAGGATGTGCTGACATTATAAGTTCCATATGACTAAAATAAAAGGTGGGACTTATTACATATGAGGAACAAAGTTCAGGGTCTGTTTGTGTCAGTCAGTCATCTTCATCAGTATCCAAACCAGTTCAGTTATCTTGAGGTATTGGTATGTTACTTGGAATTTATGAGTCTATGATAGGGCCTTTCACAGAAAACAGTGCAAAACTGCAAGTCAAAGGTCACTTTAGGCACTGGTTCTCAACCTATGGGTTATGACCCTTCTGGGGTCGCATATCAGATATATCACATTACGACTCATAACAGTAGCAAAATTACAGTTCTGTAGTAGCAACAGAAACTGTGTTAAAGGTGACAGTATTAGGAAGACTGAGAACAATTGGATTAGAGTCTAAAACCTAAAGTCAGATAATGATCCTAGGTTTAGGCTGCTGTAGTGTGACAGGAACCCAGATAAGAGTCAGCATTGGCAGTGTAGAAATGATCATATCAAAGTAAGAGCAGCTTCTATTAATTTAATTGTAAGTATTTTCAAGATTCGTAGAGAACTGGTTGGAGACCTATGTATCTTATTTGATTACAACTCACTTCTGTGTTTCTGAGTTATGTTTAAATGTTTTCTGTCATTGAGATGGAAGCAAGGTAGGTCCATGTTAATTCATCTCAATGTCTTAAATGAGGTATCCCAACTCATGAATATTCATGTAAAGTAGTATAAACTAAAAAGCATAAAGCTTACATGTGCATATTGTAATTAAAAGACCTTCCCAATTTGTCTTAAAATTCTACAGCATATTAAACTACACCAGGCATTTGTTGCCACCCAAGTGCCCACTTAGGATATAAGGAGAATGTCATCCATCAGCCATCGGGCAGTTAAACAGCTGCAAGCTTTGTTGTTTCCTTTTCCCTCTTTTATTGAATGTAGATGTTTCCCTCATATAATAAATATATCCTGATTACAGTTCCCCCTTCCTCTACCCCTCCCAGTTCTTCTCCACTTCCCCCTATATTCAGATTTATTTTTTTCTGTCTCTCATTAGGAAACAAACAGGCTTCTAAGGAGTAAGACAAAAATAATATAATAAGAGAACAAAACTAACACATTTGAATAGAACAAAACAAAGAAATAGAAGGGAAAGAGCCCAAGAAAGGGCACAAGAAACAGGTATATATGTAGAATCCCACTCTTTTGTAAACTCAGGCATCCCATTAAAAACACCAAACTTGAAGCTATAATGTAGTATGAGGGCCAGCTTGTTGGGGTTTTCATCCTGCCTGGTACCCCACAGCCGGCAAGTCCCAAAGAAAATCACACACAGGTCCACATAGGGTTATAAACTGATTGGTTCAGGCTTCATATTAGCTCTTATAACTTATATAGTCCATTATTCTAGTATATGTTAGCCACATGGCTCGGTATGGATCCAGCCCATTTCTTAGCTTTCTGAAATTTCAGCCTCATGGCTGAGGTACTGGCTGTAACCACATTTATTGTCACAACTCTATGGCATTTTAAGGTCCCTGCCAGCAAGCAAGCTGCAGCATTCTGCTCACAGACCACACTCAAATGCTTCGTAGTTGGACTGCCTACCTGAAAGAGTCAGAGTTTGCACTGGCAGGATGGCCCAGAAAGCTGACATTTTAAAACGGCACAGCTTTTTTCCTGCTTTGGCTGAAAACTGAAAAGCATGCGCTCAGCTTTTTATCAACACCGTTTAAGTGTTTCTTGGCAGGACCTCTTAAAAGAGATGCAAGGTTTTGGAGCTAAAGCTGAGTCAGGAAGCCTCTCTTTGACGAGAGCGCTTGCTTGCCTCTAGCAAGCAGAGCAGACCCAAGAAACTGCTGCTACCAAGAAAACATGCTTTGTTCTGTTCTTTTCCAAGCTTTCTCAGGCTTTCTGTGGATGCAGTTATCCACGTGGGTGCCATTCTGTAACATAAGGGCTGGCTTGTTGGGGTTTCTGTCCTCCCACCAGGTCCCACAGCCATTTAGCTCCAAAGAAAATCACATAGAGATCTCCATAAGATTATAAACTGATTTGCCCATTAGCTTAAGCTTCTTATTAGCTCTTGTAATTTATATTAACCCATTATCTTTATTTATGTTAACCACATGGCTTGGTACCTTTTTCAGCTGGGCAGATCACATCCTGCTTCTTTGGTAGTCTGGGCAGGACTGGAAGGAATGGGTTTTCTTCTTCCCAGAATTCTCCTGTTCTCATCGCCCTGCCTCTACTTCCTGTCTGGTTGACCCACCTATACTTCCTGCATGGCCAATCAGCACTTATTTAAAACATGATTGACAGAATACAGACAGTTCTCCCACACCACTGTAATATATATATATATATATATATATATATATATATATATATATGACATGTAGGGTCAAAAGAGAGGAAAATATATAAGTAAAATAAAAATTAAAAATAAGGTAAAAATCGTAAAAATCCCTAACATTTTATGAGATAAGGAACCTCCAAAAATAGTGTTAATTAATTTCCTGTTGGTAATCTATTGCTGGGTAGGAAGTCTACTCATGAGAGTAGTTTGTTTCCTGTCTATTTCCCCTTCCCAGTGGTATCCATGGTTGTTTCTCTGATCTCCTGAGACAACTGGGAGCTGGGTGGTGAGGGAGAAGGAAAAGCAGAAGGCGAGGGGGAGGAGAGAAGGGGAGGGAAGAGGAGAACATGAGGGAACAGGATGGTTGATATGGGGGAAGGACAAAGACGGAGAGTAAGGAAAGAGATATCTTCATTGTGGGAGCCATTATGAGGCCAGCAAGAAACCCGGCATCAGGAAAATTCCCAGGAATCCACAAAGATGATCCCAGCTAAGACCCTACGCAACAGTGGAGAGGGTGCCTGAACTGACCTTTCCCTGTAATTACTTTCATGATGATCTTAATTGTCATCATATAGCCTTCATCCAGCAACTGATGGAAGGAGATACAGAGATCTACAACTAAGCACTGGGCTGAGCTTCTGGAGACCAGCTGTAGAGAGGGAAAAACAATAATATGAGCAAAGGGGTCAAAACCATGATGGGGATACCCACAGAAACAGCTGACCTGAACTAGTGGGAGCTCACTGTTCCCAGACTGATAGCGGGGGAACCAGCATAGAAGTAAACTAGGCCTTCTGAATGTGGATGACAGTTGTGTGGCTTGGGCAGTTTGTGGGACCACTGCCAGTGGGACCAGGATTAATCCCTAGTACTTGAACTGGCATTTTGGAACCCATTATTTTTGGAGGAATAACTTGCTCAACCTAGACATAGGAGGGAGGGCTTTGGTCCCACCTCAATGTGAAAAAAAAAAAGAGTAGTTTGTTTCCCTAGGGAGTTCCCTTAGAAAAAAAGGATATTTTCATTTGCAAATGGTTATCCATTGGAGACAGATTCCTGGTTAGGGATGGGACATGTGTCCACTTCTCCTTTCAGCTCTAGGACCCCATCAGATGCAGACCTATGCATGCCCTGTGCATGCAGCTCAGCTTCTGTGAGGTCATAGGTGTATAGATCATGTTGATTTAGAGACCCTTGTTTCCTTGGTGTCTTCCATCCCCTCTGGTTCTTATACCCTTTCTGCCTCCTCTTCTTCAGGGTTCCCTGTGCTTTGACGGGAGGGATTAGATGGAGACACTCCCTTTAGGACCTAGTGTTCTGAGTGGAGACACTCCCTTTAGGACCTAGTGTTCTAAGTTCTCTCACTCTCTGCATATCTTCTGGCTGTGGGTCTCTGTTCCCATCTGCTACAGGAGGAAATTTCTCTGATGATGGCTGAACAAGACATTGATCTGCTTCCTTGGCCATCATTTCCTTCCTCCCTCCCCCCTCCCTCCTTCCCTTCTCTCTGTCTCTCTCTTCCTTATTTGCATATATTTATTGTTGGTGTACTGGGTTTCATAAAGACATTTTCATATAAATATATAATATGTTTTAAGCATTTAAAAACATCGGAGTCCAAAGGTCCTTGCCAGAGTCTCATTCTGTAACATGAAATCCCTCATTATCCTTTTGTGCCTCATTTCACTCTCTCAACTTAATTTTCATGCTGCTAATTAAGGTTTATATACCTTACTCTAGACTGAATACACGATTTTAGTCATTGAAATGACTTTGAATAAAAGAATAGTAACAAGTAAAAAAATAGTAAGAAAATGGTCTGCACATTTCTGACCCATGTTTCCTAACAAAGCTTCGATGTGTGTCTCTTTTTTTCTAAAGCAATTTGCCAGTTCCAAGGACGGAGCTACTTTGAGGGAGAACGCAACACGGTTTACTCATCCTCTGGAATGTGTGTGCTTTATGAATGCAAGGTAAGTTTGCTCTCAGGGGCCTTCCAGACTGGTCTCGATTCCATAAACACTGGGAATGTTTCTGTGAAACTTTCTCCCAATACTCCTTTCAGATCCTAAATCAAAGGGAGGGTCTGAATAGCAGTCTCAGTTTAGACAGGAAAGAACTGCTGTTATCCTTTGAAGCACATAAGCTAGTTGTTATAAAACAATTTTTGCAACAAATGAAAATGTTACTTGTCGAATCAGTATTATGAAAAGGAAAACTTTTTACTTGTTTGTTGTTGCAAGGAAAAAGTAGGAGACAATAGATCGAGCTTGCTGACTCCCATGATTTTGACACTGATGAGAAATATCACTCAGCTAATTGGGAAATAAAACATAAAGCGATATAGTAAACATTAATTGTTGTGCAGAGATGGTGTTGATGATGATTTTAAATGGCTCCCTGAAGCAAACACTGTACAGCATCTCCCATCCTGTGGAAGGCAACTTGAGCTATAGTAAGGCCACAGGACACCACCATAGCTTACAATAGGAGTGTGAAGAGCCATGGGAAATAGGGTTGGTTGGCTTTTCAGGTACAAAGTCAAAGAACAGAGTACAGAAAAATGTTGAACCAGTCAAAACTGGTTATCATTTGAACTATAGTTTCCCTGTTGGATGTCCCTTGTACATGGATTTGACAATCTAGAGACCACACAAAATATTAAAATTAAAAACAAGTGATTTAGTCTGTGTCAATAAATTACTAGCTATAGAATTATCGAGGTCCAAGGAAAGGGAAATCCTAAAAGTTTTTGCACAGTACATGGTACCCTAAAGAAGGTCTGTTTCATGTACACCCATTTGAGACTGCCTGAGGACTAGAAAGTCAGCGAGGTTAAAAGGCAGACCTGAGACAGGAAGGATGGAGGTTTATAGTACACACACATGAGACTTCTCTTGTTTAAAATCTGTGTTCCTATGGTGTGGGTCAGATCCTAATGATAAGAGGATCAAGACATACGAATGTGCCGAGGAATGTGCTCCTGTCTCCATCCTGTCTCCAGGTGGGATCTCTTGTCAGCATCCTCACCCTTTGCTGCTGCCAGTGGGGTCAATCTCACTGTGGAGCCTACAAGATCTGGGGTTAATCCAGTCATTCCCAAACAAGGAAAGGAGAATTAGAGAAGCATGCAGTTTGACACATATTTAGACATTTTCCAGCTGGTCTCTAAATGTGGCCTATCTTTCTGAAAGATAAGCTGTACATTTAAGCCACTGAGAGCATTTGATGTCTCTTCCTCAGTGTTTTTGAGTTTAATAACATCGATTATTGTGGGACACATATTCACTAGTTGCTTACTTGATGCTAAATGTGCTGCACGATAATTTCATTTTAAATGAGCTCAGTTAGAGGTTTGGTTGTAGGCAGTACTGCAGGTGTTCAGTATACATTTGGTGAGCGATGCCCTTTGTTTTTTAAACAAAAGAAGCCGTCTCCTCTGCTCTTAACTCTTTGCTGCCCATCAGGAGCAGGAGCTACAAAGACAATGTGTTGGGTTCAGTGTTCAGTATTTAGTCCGTATATCTAAAACATCATTTCAATATGAAATTTGTTATAAAATAGTTAATGTAACAAATTTTCCATTCCTTTGTCATACTGTGAGCAACATCTTAAAAACTTTGTATATTACAGCGTTCACGACCACATGTAGCTAGTGACCGTGGATTGGACAGCACAACCCGATCAAATCTAAAATTTTGTGGTTCTTGACTAAATCCCTGTCATTAAGGGCTTCCATCGCCTCTTTTTCCTTTGGGCCCTTTTGCCCTGTGTTTATGACTTAGAGTAACTGGCGGAGTTCTCATGTTTCCATCTTGCAGACTCTCAGTCCTAGTGATGCTTTCTTTATTATTATCAGTTTTGTGAACTTGAAGACACATGCTGGGGGTTGCAGCTCTAAGAGGTGCATAGAACAGTGCCATGGTTTGAATGTAAAGAGCCCCAGATGACATGACCACAGCCGCGAAGGGAGGCCGGTGCTTGAGAGCATCTTATGCTGCTTTCTTCGCAAAAGAGGTTGATTTGCATATTTAAGTCAGGAAGAGCAATTTTTGAAATGTGTATTTCCTCATTAAAGAGGTTCTCAGCGAGGATATGAAAAACCCAAACTGTTGAACAGAACTTAAGAATGGAAGCCTGCAAGCCCTGAGACTTACTTTGTTACTTTTACACTGGTAACATTCCTGGCATTGTCAGGATCCTTGGTGATGATCAAAGAGAACCCTTCAGAAGGAGCCAACTGTTGGTTCTGGGGGTGGCTATTCCAGATGTTTAAAAGTAAATTCCATATTGCTGTCTCCTGAGAGGACTTCACTTATTTTTTTCTAGAACATGATGATGAAGATGATAAGTTTACATTAGTGTTTTTTTTTTCATTTAAGATTCCCAACTTTTTTGTGCCAGAAAAATATGCTAAACATTGGCCTACAAGACACACATGTGACCCTCTTTTTCCTAGTAGTTTTGAGGAAGAACATTGGCATTCCTTACTGAAGTCAGCTGAAACAGTCAGCGTTTCTCTCCCTTACCTCCCTTCCCCGACACATACATTTGGGTCCCATAGTGTAACCCTCACTGGCTTGGATTTTGCTGTGTAGACCAGGCTGATTTGGACCCCACAGAGTTCTACTTAACACTGCCTCAAAAATGCAGAGATTACAGATGTGTACCATGACATCCAGTGAGACTCTTCATAACAGAAATTTGAAACAATCTCATACCAAAAATCCAGTTAATTTTACTGGTTTGTTGCGAGTCTGTTGAAGCCGTTGTGTGTTGTTACTCTAATCCAAGCTCTCTTTGCTATGCTTGTCTTTGTATTTACAAATCTGGTGGAAAACTAACACACATTTCCAGGATCATCTAGGTGTTTGGGTGTTGCAGACATGGCTACAAACTGTGTTGGGTTCTGACTCTCAGGGCTGCTGGCTGCTGTGTGGGCTCTCCAGATGGAAGTGAGTGCCATGCCGGGATGATCCCTTGGTCCAGCTGGAGGTCATTAGGGAAACAAATTCACTAGTGTCTTAGAACCTTGTCCGATTCTGATCGTCACTTACCAGTCAAGTCCTCAGGGAATCGCAGGCATCTCTTTTCTGTTGTCCTACAGGATCAGACCATGAAGCTGGTCGAGAACGTCGGCTGCCCAGCTCTGGATTGTCCTGAGTCTCATCAGATAGCCCTGTCTCACAGCTGCTGCAAAGTTTGTAAAGGTACGATGTTAGTTCGTAAAGCGACATCACTCCTGTGTAAGAACGCAGATGGGAGTGGGACAAGTGACACAAATCGGAGACAGAAAGTACACGCCACAGACTTAAACTTCCCTGTGGAAGTTAAAAAATAAATATCATCAAAGAAGTGAAGAAGAGCATAGTGGTTACCAGAGCCTAGAAATGCGTAGAGAGTCAGTGATGGAGAGAGATGGCTGCCAGCCACAAGGGCGCACTTGGATAGGAGGAGTGACTTCTAATGCTATGTAGCACCGTGAGAGATGTGTGGCTGACAATTAATTGGGTATTTCAAAATTGCTAATGGAAAGAATTTTAAGTATTTCTAACACAAAGAAATGGAATGTGTCTGAGGTGATAGATAGACCAATTACCCGGCTCAAATCATTACATACTGCATGCATTTATTGAAATGTCACAAGGCATCCCAAAATATGTGCAATTATTAGATGCCAATTAAAAACAAAAACACATTAAAAGATTTATGTGCAAGAACTATTGTAGGGGACTAGTATAACTGACATGCGTGAGCAAATTTAATCAATCATTTCAAAAATTAATATCATTTACCTGAATTTGCTACACAGTGGGACGCCCAGAGCCATTTGTTGAATTATAACTGAGATTTGCACAGGCATTTTTGCCATATGCCTGTACCTGTCTCCAGGTCTGACCTCTAAACCTGAGTCCTGGTTCTGAGTTGGCTCACTGTTGCTGGAGCAAGTTACATGGCTGTGTTGAATTAGCTATCCTTCTGATAGGTTTGCCCTCCTTTCTCCTCGGTTTGTTTCTGCAGCTGACCTAAATGCAGAAACGCACTGCATCAAATTACCTGCTTGCATCAGGTCTCGCCCCTCGTCATACGTTGGCTTCTAGACTACCAAGATGAGAGAATGCGTGGATGATCATCACTTCCTTTGTGTTGTCTCTGGGATGTTAAACCTGGTACCAATAAATACCAGAGTCCTAGAATTTTGTTTCATTGTAAGAAAACAGCAAAACTGTTCACAAATGTGATGAGCTACCTCAGGAGGCACTGAGTTCCTTTGGCTGGAGGTTCTTAAACTTGTTGGTTCAAGCACGAAAATGAAGTAATTAATTACATAGACTCTTTAAGATCCTTGTTCCTTATGGGATTATCAGTCCTGCCCCTTGTTAACCTGAGGCTATCAATGTGTGTCCACTTCCTGCAGCAGGCTGTGCACTGCAGGGAAGGCCTGAGTCTTTGTATTCATCGCTGCACCTAAACCCTCGCATGATGTGTGGAGTGTAGCTGATGTGCTCCGTGATGTACCTAGAATGGAGTAAGCATTCCAGTTGCAATGTGAGCATGTGTCGAGATAGCATCCTTCGTGCTGATGTAAAGTGAAACTTACAAGGAAAAAGTAAATTTGCCCTTTGGAAAACTGGCATCCTTAAAAATAGATGTAAAATTATTTCCACCCCTGTTTTGAGCAGAGTTGTGCGTTTTGTTTTAATTTTGATTTCATTTTGTTTTGTTCATACGCCTTCCCATCCATTAAAGAGTGGGTTTTAAATTTTCAACATTTGATTTATTGCGTATGTGTGCATATGTACACCTGTGTAGACCTGTGAATACACATGGCACAGCGCAGAAGTGTGTGGAGGTCAGAGGACACTTGCAGGAATTGGTGTTTTCCTTCCACCATATGTGTTTCAGGGGTTGAATTCATGTCTACAGGCTTGGCAGCAATCTCCGTAGCCCTCTGAACCATCTTGCCAGCTCCCCTCCCTAAAGACTTTAAAAATCTCTATTCTGAATGCGGCTCTTTAGAAATCGCATTATGGTTGAAGACCTGGTCTTCTCAGACAAGAACTATCAAGATATCCTTTAGCAATAAAAGAGCCCTCTAATTGGACCTACCTTCAAGCAGACAAACAGTGCAGATGATTCGAACTTTTATCCTCACAGTCCCGACTCAGTGCCTGGGTAGGGCATATCTGAATTTTGATAAGACTCAGGAATACTCACTTTAGTCTTTTCACTTGAGGCTTTCAGTCTGCAGCTTGACCAGAGCAGTTTTGGCAGCAGTAAGTAGTATGAACTAATGCTTCTTACCCTGACCCTGACATGCGGACACAGTTGACCTGCTCTCTTAACAAAATATGTTTTAGAGTGACTTAGGAGCTAGTGTAAGCAGGACCACATGTTATGGGGTGGTAAACCCGCTCCTGTAGAACAAACATTCCCCACTCAGCACTTCAAGATGATATTGTCATTGGAGATTTCAACGCTTGGGTCAGACAGTCAGGCAAGCTTGCACTTCTTCAGATATTGGCTGAGGTTGCTCTGTGCTGTTAGCTGGAAGCTCGGCAGGGCTGACTGTTTCAGGGTGGCCTTATTCTTGGTTTAAGATCTTGGTAGACGTGGCCGAGAAGCCAAGCATAGTCACAGTGGCCCCTCTCCAGAACCTCAGGACATTTCCTCATGTTATCTCATTGAGGTTACTAGTCCCACTTGTTAAATGATGGCTTGAGGGTTTTATGGACATCTGGTATTGACATAGCGTCATTCTCCTATATTCCAATGCTCAAAGCAGTCAAAAGTCAGCCAAGATTCAAGGGACTAGAACATAGACAAGAGGAAACCATGAAAAACTGTGACACAGCTGGCTTTAACCATCTGTCAGCTTGACACAGCTTAGAGCCAGCTGAGAAGACAGTCTTAGTTGAAGGACTGCAGAGACTGGATTGGTCTGTGGACATGCCTTGGGGGGATTATCTTGATTTTTAAATGGTGTAGGAGGTCTTAGTCCACTGTGAGTTGCCCATTCCCTGGGTAGGAAGTCCTGGTGTATTAGGAAAGCTAACTACACAGGAACCTGAGTGCATTCCTCCACGCTTCTTTCTGTACTTCCCTGGCTGTGAGGGAGAGGTCCGGCTGCCCAGAGATAGCAGTGGGCCTGTCTCTGAGTTCCTGCCTTCCTTTCCTCCCCTGATTTTCTTCTGGGATAGACTGTGGCCTTGGGCTGGAAGCCTGATTAACTTATTTCCTCCCCTGAGTTGGTTTTGATCAGAGCGTTTTAGTCCCAGCAGCAGAAAGCACACCGCAGTGGTGAAGGTCCTCAATCTCCCGCTCGAGGGCTGCTTAGGGAGTAAGTGAACACACAGTAGCTAGTTAGAGTGGAGTGGGACAGATGTCGTGTAAGAAGTTAACCTGAGGTGTCCAGGTGGTAAGAATCATTCTGGTCACATCCATTTCTGAACTTAAAGTTTGAAAAAGCTACTGAAGAAATGGAGTATTAATCACAAGACATCACTCTGTATTGAAATTGTCCACATTGAAATGTGTTTACATAGAGTGACAGAACAGGCCATGCTTCCTCGCCTCTGATATTCTGGAATAACTGATATGAAGTGGGACCCTTGACATCTCTCTTTCCAAACATTCATGGTAAATCAAGCGGCCTAGACTGTGAAGGTCTGGATTAGATTAATACTTGAACTCAAACTAAAATTCTCAAGTTGTCCCTAACTCCCCCTGTTAGCAATAGGGGCCCTACATGGCTCTTCCTGACTTTCAGTTTGTAATCCTCCTGCCTCAGCCTCCCTAGCTTCTGGGATTACAGGTATGCATCAACAAGTACCCCTAGAGTTAGCCATTCTTCAAACATCAAAACCCCTGTTGACAGGGCTTTCTGTTCGGTCCTGCGGGACAGAAACTACAGCCAATAGCCCCTTAAGGATTACAGGCTTTTTTGATGTCATATATGCAGGACAAGTAAAGGAACTGTCCCAACATACTTTCACTTCGGGGGGAGGAAGTCCAATTCCCTACTCTTAAATTTGAGTCAACTCTCGCACATTTGTTTTGACAGATTCATCTGTGAGAATTGACCCCTAGTTTTCAGCAAACTCTTCCCCACCCTGCCCAGTGTTAAAGACTCAGTGTTCACATGCAAATGAACATTCAGGTCAGCAATGGTTAATTAGGTGTCCCTGAGCCCAGTAGGAGACAAAAATGGTCATTTTCCCCCTGGAGGTTTGGGCATTGGTAAGAAACCAAATCAAACCAGCCAACACTGTCCCCTAGGCTTTCTGTTTTGACACCCCTGGCGGCAACAGGAAGGAGAATCCAAGCAAGGAACCCCATCCTATTGTTGGGAACATTTGAAAGAAGTGGGCAACAGGCACAGGCCAGAGCTTCCACGAGAGAGGAAGGACCCTAGACACACGCATTGTGTGTGGATTTATGTCAACTTTCCTTTCTGTTGTCTTCTTCTCCCTTGACATTCCCAGCCTCTGTTTACAAGACAATTACCTGCTCACACTTCTTTATTAAAAGTAAGGAAGCAACATGGAAAGGGTGTGACTTCTCTTTTCCCTTGTGCACAATTCCCACTGTCTGCAATATTCAGCAGTGCCTTTTGTGACTTTCTGTACCTGTGTATTAGTAATAATGTTATTATAGTGATAGTCAGCTTTAGCTTCATTGCACGGCAGTTGTTTGTACACACTGACCCTGCTTGCCTCCGAAGAAGGCCATTGGCATTAGAATTCTATTTGCTTGTTCTGCACCTTGATCTACACTTTAGAAGACACTAGGAAAGTCTCTTAGCTTTTGGACTACATCTAACTACATTAGCATTTGCTAGTGGTGGTGTGGTAGACACTGAATTCTATTGGCTTGGCCAGAAAGTGAACTGTGTGGGCCCCCAAAACAGATGGTAAAACAACTTCAGTGTGGTTTCACTCGTTTCAGAAACAGGTCACTTGCTGGAGTAGCTGTGTCTTCTCTGACTATCATGCCTGTGTTTAATTCGAATTGTGATGATACATAGGTAGAAAAAAAATGGTTTAATATCCTGATGCGATAAGTAAAAATCCAAGATCTGAGCTTCAGCGACCTCCATTAGCTAGCATCGTAGAAATTACTTTGTCAGACCAGTGCTATGCATTGATTGACACGGCTTTATCTTATACAGAGTAAAGTCCATTTTCCTGAAAGCACCTGGGTCACAGGT